GGTCAGTACATCAATGATGTCACAGACGTATGAGTCATAATATTATGTTCGTGCATGTAATGACATTATCAATTCATATTTGGACTAATTCACTCGTGTATTATATGGTAAAAACAGTCGTCAAACTGATCAAACTCGTCAAACTCATCGTAATACTAATCAACTCATAACACTGGTCAAATTCGTAACACGCATTCCGGGTTTCATGTTTGGGGTTTCTGAGTTTGACGAGTTTGACGTATTTGACGAGTCAACGCGGTCAACCTGTGGTCAAAATGACATTCCGATGGTTCAAAGTTGTGTACAGGGTCTATTATGACGTATTGAACGTGTTTTTGTTATAAGGAGAGCATCTGGAAAAATAATAAATTCTACCCTAGACCAATGTGTAACATAAAGTGTAATAGAACATTAGGGTTTCGTTTGGGGGAACATGCATTACTACACAAAATAAGGTGCTAAATTTAGATAGCTGCGATTATTATTTACTTATCAAATTTGTTATACGAGGTGCTTATTAACATTTTCGTGGTTCGCAATTGATAAATTCGCCAAATCAGAGAGTTTGACGAGTTTGACGTGTTTGACGTGTTTGACGAGTTTGACGTGTTTGACGAGTCAACGCGGTCAACCTGTGGTCAAAATGACATTCCGATGGTTCAAAGTTGTGTATATGGTCTATTATGACGTATTGAGCGTGTTTTTGTTATAAGGAGAGCATATGAGAAAATGATAAATTCTACCCTAAACCAATGTGTAACATAAAATGTAATAGAACATTAGGGTTTCGTTTGGGGAAACATGCATTGCTACACAAAATAAGGTACTAAATTTAGATAGCTCCGATTATTATTTACTTATCAAATTTGTTATACGAGGTGCTTATTAACATTTTCGTGGTTCGCAATTGATAAATTCGCCAAATCAGAGAGTTTGAATTGATAAATTTGTCAAATCAGAGAGTTTGACGAGTTTGACGTGTTTGACGTGTTTGACGAGTTTGACGTGTTTGACGAGTTAACGCGGTCAACCTGTGGTCAAAATGACATTTTGATAGTTCAAAGTTGTGTACAGGGTCTATTATGACGTATTGAACGTATTTTTGTTGTAAGGAGAGCATCTGGAAAAATGATAAATTCTACCCTCGACCAATGTGTAACATAAAGTGTAATAGACCATTAGGGTTTCATTTGGGGGAACATGCATTGCTACACAAAATAAGGTACTAAATTTAGATAGCTGCGATTATTATTTACTTATCAAATTTGTTATACGAGGTGCTTATTAACATTTTCGTGGTTCGCAATTGATAAATTCGCCAAATCAGAGAGTTTGACGTGTTTGACGAGTTTGACGTGTTTGACGAGTCAACACAGTCAACCTGTGGTCAAAATGATATTCCGATGGTTCAAAGTTGTGTACAGGAGGGTCTATTATGACGTATTGAGCGTGTTTTTGTTACAAGGAGAGCATTTAGCCCAGTCTTGTGGATACTTTTCACAATTTAGGTCGCAGATAATCGCATACTTGGTGATCGAATATCTGATGGGCACGTCATTCAGAACAAACCATAGTTGTTTCACTTCTCCTTCCAATTTTAGTGCCCGATGTAAGAGGACTGATGCCGGAACCATCTTCAATGTGTCCTTACATCCAAGATGGAAAATATGCCGAAACTGGGATTCTTTTTGGAAATATTAAATTCTTCATCCGTCAATGCCTTTTTAAGAGATCTAACAGTCTGATATAGATAATATTTCGTCGTGATCTTAGGAGTCATATGAATGTCCTTAAAATCATACACAAAAGGTACCTGCAAAAACAAATTTAACACTCATTATCAAACTCGTCAAACTCGTCAAACACCCCAAACTCCGACTTGTTTGACGAGTTTGAACATTTTTGAGACTCGAATAGTTTGACTTGTTTGACGGGTGCGCTAAGTTTAACTAACATCTAGCATGACCATTAATCTATGTTTTAGTGCATCCGACTGTCGACAATATCATCGTGACTCGATTTCTATCCGTCTTTTTCACAAAACACTGTTTCTCACCCAATCCGAAAACCCTATTTCGATATTTCAGTGACAATTTGTCATTCAAACCATAGTTTTTCAAATTTTTATTTCAAACCCTATTCTTAACGAAAACTTAATAGAAAATCTAAAACTGAATCTCAATGTATACCCGAAACCCTAAAAAATTTGATTTTTGCGGAGTTAAAAAACTATACCTGGAGGTCTTCGCAAGTAGGGTCCGAAGAGAGGGCCGAAGATGATGAAGACGAAGCTATTCTTCGTGCAAATTTGACGAGTTTGACGAACTCGCATAGAAAAATCACAGAGTGAAGAGAAAATGAAGAAGAAGAAACGACACTATGAAGAAATGAAAGTGTCTGTCGAAAAGGGGCAAAAAAAACTGTTTGGTTTTTCAAATTTTTTTAATTTAGTAACTTCCCAACTTTTGGTCTTTCTCCTTCAGATGTTGACACGTGTATTTTTTAAAAGGGGTAACGATGTCTTTTCATTCTTTTACAGTTTTTGTTTGAAGGTTTTTTTTTTGAAGGGTATGTCATGTAAGTGAAATCGACATTTAAAGGTATTTTTGTAATATTCCCTCTAAAACATTTATTTTTGAATTAAATTAGTGGTTCAAAAAACCCAACAAACTTTACTTTACAATCAGTTGAATGCAAATTAAAAAGAGAGTTACAATCTCACCATAAAGTTTGGAGATACTCGTCGTTTTCGTCACTGCTAAAAGTACATATCCTAACGCACTTCCAAACGAATCTTCAATAACTTCTACAAAAAAAAAAATCAAGAAAATTGTAGGAATTTTTAATTTAAAACATAAATTTTTTAAAAAGACAATAGATATTAGTACGGATGGACACCGGTCGAGTGCCAAAACTTTGGTGTATTTGATCTCGTTTTTGCTTCCTTCGATATTCTGGACGGATTATCCGATCTCTAGATTTATGAGGATCGGATATCCGAGTCTCTTGTATCCACGGGTACGGTGAACGATCGGGTATCTACGGTTCATCCAGTCGGTGGGTAAGGCAGAGGAGGTGAGGACGAGCACCGAGGTGTTGAAAGTGAGGAAAGTCCTCTCTCTAAACATGAAACCCTAATTTTTTTAACACCAATAACATCAACAACATCGTCTTAATCCCAAGTTTATTTGAGGTCAGTCGCATGAATTCTTCTTTTCCACTTATTTCGGTTTTGCATCATATCCTTCGAGATTTGCAACACATCCAAATCATATTTAATGACTCGTTTCTAAGTCTAGGCATACTTTTTCTCGTTTCTTCAATTCCATACTTACACTTTCTAATTTTCGAACTGGAATGTCAAACAGTCTACGTTTTACGTGATCAATAGTATACAATGTGTTTAAAATGATATACAATGTGTTTTTTTGTCAATGCCGTATATATATATTTTTATAGTAAATTATCCAAAATACTCATGGTTTTATTGTTTATTATCTAACATATCTAAATTTCTAAAAAAAGGAAAAACATAACATTTATTTTCTACCTCAGAAAAAAGCTTTACTTGCACGAGATTCAAGAATCAGATTTGGGTTGACCCCTCTTTTTGGCTTCAATCAAATAGAACAGATAGTTTAGCAGAATTAAAAAAAAAAACTCTGAAAAAGCAAGCATTTGTTTCCCCTCCTCTCACATATTTATTTGGGACATTATAAAAAATACTCTCCATTTGATATTTTTACTTCAAGCCATACCCTTTTCCACCTGTGATCCTCTGATCCATGTGACCATAAATTTAATCTTGGTCATTTTGACCATAACGTTAAATTTATGATGATCACACCCATTGATTATGTTCATATCTTATATATCTCACTAATTATTTGATAAAAAATTTATAAATTCAATGTTATAAACAATATGATCAAAATTAAATTTCTGGTCACATGGATCACATGACCATAGATGGAGAATTGTATGTCTTGAAGTAAAAATAGCAAATGGAGGGTATTTTTGATATAATGCCTATTTATTTTCACCTCACATTCTATTAAATTATTTTATCTCTACTAACAATATTTTACTTTTCTTCTCATTATTGAATAATACATAATACTATCCAAATTTGGTTAATTCAACCGGTAAAATGGGTTGTAAAATATAAACCCGTCCCGAATTCAAATCTCAAATTTAAAAAGGGAATATGTATTCCAAATTACATGGTTCGACTCCAAAATTAATCTAGATCTTAATTTAGAACATTCGATTACTCAAAAAAATTACATAAAGCTCATAGGAGGACAATAGCCGAAATTTCGAGTACCTGACTCGTGGGTCGAACGATACTCCTAAATTTTAAATAAACGTGCTCGCCTATTGTACATAGATATAATGTATTATAGATGTTTGGGTAAGATATTATTGGAAATTTTTTCAAGATTGGTTAATGTCTAAGTTTAAGATTATAATATAAAGAGAAATTATAATCATAGCAAATAATTCACCAACAAATACGTCTAAACCCAACAGAAATATAATATATGTAAATTCTATACCATGTAACACAAAATAGAAAAAAAAATGAATGTACGATGAAAAAAACTAAAATCAAATTATGTTAAAAATACGTAGTTTTATTTGTGTGGTAATGTAGAATACGTAACTGTAATTACTCTACGTTGAACTCTCAAAAGGTCGACCAAAAAACTAAATGAAGAAGTCGAATCCACCTAATTTAGTAAAAAAGTAAATATTTATATCAAGAGGACAGTATATAATTTTCCTCAGCGTTGAAACTTGGGATACATATGTGGAGCTAACCGGGGACCCACTGACGCAGACAGAGGCTTAGCCATGAGCAATTTGGTGTCCGACTCCATGAGCTCGACCCGCTCTGAACCCGGAGGGAGGCTCCAAGTGAAACCTTGGAGAAGCCTCGCCAACAACATCACCGTCATATATGTCCCGAGTTTACCGCCTATGCAGCCACGCCGGCCAGTGCTGAACGAGACGAACCTCATCTCCGGCTCGAGAAGGTTCACCTCTGTTGAGCCGAGGTGGCGCTCGGGCCTGAACACATCTGGCTCATCCCATATCTTAGGGTTCCGACCTAACCCGACCCGACTCACAAGGACATGGCTACCTGGTTTTAAAAAATAAGGAATAACTGTCCCTTAGGTATGGTAATAAATGCATTAATTGCAAAAGAATACGAAATATGCAAAGGATCTACCTTTGGGGACGAAGTAACCGGCGAGGGTCGTGTCCTCCATTGCCACATGAGGAGGTACGAACGGTGAAACGGGGTGGAGTCTGAAAGATTCTCTGCTGCAAGCTTTTATGTAGTTGAGTTTAGGTATGTCGCTTTCTTGTGCAAGTCTGTCTTTTCCGACTATTTCATCGAGCTCTTCCGTTGCTCTTTCAAGTGTCTCGGGCCGATTTAACATCTCTGCGAGTGTCCACTCCACGTTGTTTGTCGGGTTATCTATCGTCGCAAGGAAAATATCCTGCATTAACAAGATTAATTAAGCATAAACATGTTTTGTTGATCATTACGTTATGTTGTACGTGAAATTTACAAAAACATACACCGACCTTGCATTCAGCTTTGATTTCTTCGGGTGTAAGCAATGGCTCCCCTTCATCGTCGTTTAGGGACACGAAGATATCGAGCCAGTCTCCGATTTCCTTCTTTCCATCTCTCTCCCTCCACAACTTGATTCTCTCATCGATGATTAGTTCGTTGTACTTGTCCATAAGATGGCTGGCCTCTCTTGCCATCTTCTCACGTTCGTCCAAAACCCGACCCCTCAGAAAAGGAACATAATCGGATACGCTAAAGCTAAAGAGGCAACCTAACCCCTTGAATGTCGCCTCGAGGTGGTCCCTCTCCATCGGAGACATCTCTCCGTCCATCGCCTCTTCTTTGAAATGCCTCCGACCAAACATCATTCTCATGACCACTGCATGGGCATACGTCATGGTGATGTCTCTCACGTTTACTGCCTTCGAACTTTGCTTGTAAAGGCTGTGGGCGTAAGCTAGGATGTTATCCGCTTCCGCTGTTCTTGCATCGAGTAACCACTTCAACCTTCCCGGTGACATCAACTCTGACGTCATCAGTTTTCTCATCTTCTTCCACTGTTGTCCGTATCTTGAACAGACCGGCGTCTTGAATCCGCCGCTCATTTGCCCCGACGAGTACATCTCTGGTCTATCGGCAAGAACCTCGTCCTTATCCACGAGGGCTTCCCGAGCAATCTCTTTCGACGTCACGGTGACGACGTGGACGTTTCCGAAACGGAAACATGCTATATCCGTCTTCATCTCGTCCATGACACGGTGCATCCACTTGTGGACTGGTCGGTTCTTGATCATTCCGGCTAAGTTTCCGATGACAGGCCATCCCGGCGGTCCCGGAGGAAGCCTCCGAACAGATCCTAAGCGGTAACGTTTCGCGAAAACTGTGATCAGTGTGGTAAAGAAGGCGACAATCACAACGATGTATGAGAATATTTGCTCTGATGATAACTCGACGGTTGAGTTCATGTTTACTGCGACCAGTCTTTCTCAAATAGATTTGGTTGCGGAGACAACACACACACACACACAAACAAAAAGGAAGCAAAATAGGGCACAAAATCTACTAAGTGATTCCAAATTTGCGAACTCGACTACACTAAATAAAAGTTGAAAATTGAATATATAAGAAAGCTTTACATTATGCTATAATACTATACTATATATATACACTAAGAATGCTATATATATATATATATATACATACATATATGCATTCATAATTAAGTTGTGTTGGTGTTCATATTGGCTCTCATCGTCACGTGTTCCATATATTTGTAGTGTTTGATTTGGGAGGAGCTTTTCTTATTTGTCTGATCTAGCAAACATTGTTTTTAACGAGGCAAAGCTGGTCGAGGAGGTCCGGATATTGAGTTTGCTGGGGTCATTATATGTAGTCAACGTGTACTTATAACGAAGTATTTAATAAGGTACACAATATAACCATCGAATGTTACTCGTTTTATATCGATAATAAAAAGAATCTATACTTTTGACATGTAATTGATTATATATATATATACACACACACATGTATATACCCATCAAACTGGAACGTTTCAACTTGTTGAGGAGATAATAAAAAAAAAAAAATTAAATTGGTTACCCAACAAACAATTGTGGTGAGATTTCGGCAACGTACGTTATGGTCTGCATATGAGAGAATGTCACACGACGAGTTGTCGTTTCATCTCGTATGAAAAATGACAATTGTCAACTTGTAATTAGACGAATATTATTGTATTTTATTATTGTTGTTTGTTATTGAAAATACAGTTTTCTTTTGGTAGAGTTATTAATTCTAAAATGAATATAATTTATATTACAATAAGAAAATCTCAACCAATTAGGAAATATGCTAAAATACGTCTTCACTGAAACACGCTAGTTCGGCCAGAAGGTTCCGAAGATTCTTGGTGAAGTGTAAAAGCTTCAGAATAAAGCAGAAGGTCCGAAGGGTAAATGTGTGATTTGTAAGGGTTGTGATATGAGACCTAGGTTTAGCGTCTTCGTTCTCAGACCTGTAATTTCTGTTTCGGTTCTCTCTCTCTTGCGGCCGAGAGATCTTTCTCACCATGTGTGCGTGCGTGTCTTTGGTGCCGCCAACGGCGGTTTCCGGCGACGTTTTTCGGCTGTAACCCTAGATACTCCACTTTCTCTTCCCGAGACGTAGGTACCGAATGTTAGAACTCGGTACTGAACTCGTATATCACGTGTCGACTCTTTCTCTTCTCTGTTCTTGTACACAAGCGTTAGATCGGAGTGAATCGGTGATGATTCGAAGGTCGGGAACCGCTACAATACAAAATCTAGAATTAGGTGAACCATCATTGATTCTCAATATTCCTTGCAAGCTTATGGCATGATAACATGGGGAGGGGCCGGTTGAACTATCTCAAATTTTGACGCCAAACGTTATCTAATAAAAATATGATTCATCTTCAAACTCTTTTTTTGATTGATCAAGAATTATCCTAAACGGTATTCAATTATTAACCGATACTTTTAAACTTTGCATATTCATATTAATCTCTATTCATCCCTTAATCAACGTATAAAACAGTCAAAAACTGATATAAAAAATTACTTTATTCGCATAACATGAATTGAACCCTTAACATCTCGTCAAGAAATAGAGATGCTAAACCAATTATACCATTCCTTGAGATTCATTTTCAAACTTTTTAAATATGTGAAAACTCCCGTATATATCTCAGTAAAATTTTTACAAATATCCAAAATCTCCTAAAATATTTATATCAACTATATGCTCTGCTTGTTACATCAAAATCTTTGCGATTGTGTTACCACCGGTCATCATGTAAGTGAATACAATGTGTTATGTAGGCGTTAAGTCGTTGAAAAATCAGGTCAACATGACCAACCAGCTAATTTGGAATTGAATTTACGAGTTTAGGTTTAGGGTAATTTGTGGCACTCAAAAACAATTAGATGCGTTTTATTGAATATTTGTAAATTCAGGGTTGTATATGCAATCTTTTTTTTTGACAAATTCAGTTATTATTGGATTTTCCTCTTCTTTTTGTTACGAAAGTTCAATCCAATCTCGTCGTCATACTTTGTAAAATTCTAAGGCAATTGTTGTTGTTATTACTATCGATAATCAAGGAGTTGGAATAGAAATGTAGCTTTCTTTTGTTAGAATTCATAATTTTATAGAAAATAAAATATAGCTCATAATACGTCTTTTAAAAAAAAATGGAAACAGTTTAATTTCGGATTTTTTAAAAATAAATTTATTAAATTGAGGGATCGAAATCAAATGGAGGGAGAGCTAAAATTCATAATTTGACCGATTGATTTAAATGTGTTTCTAATCACTTGGACCAAAACAAAATTCACCGTTTTCATTAAAAAGGTGAAGAATAAAACAAAATAAACAATTAGTTATTATTTAGCGGCAAATTAGGTTTAGGAAGACTGTCGGATGGTATCAGTTTTAGTTGTTCGAGATTTATTTTATAAACGTCATATTTTTTTGTGTGTGTTCCCTTTTTGGCGGCTCCCCACTTTGATAGTGAGATTGTTTTACACGTTTTTTAATTTACAATTAAATTCACCTTAATGGTTAGAAAACTATAAAATATCAACGTCCAATAAATAAATAAATAACAATGTTATCTATTTGTTTTATGTTTTTTCCTTGTATTTGTGTCGTAAATTTATTTTTATTAAAAGGCTATTACTATGGAGAACTCTAAAACATAATATCACAAGAAAATTCGAATAAAATATATTTAGAATTCATATTTTATATTAACGATATTTTTCTTTGGAATAACTATTTTGAGTTTTTGTTGGTTGAAAAGCTCAGTCGAAAACGAAAAATAAAATAACCGCAACTAGAATCCATGTTTAATTCATGACGAACTTATGCAACAACATATGCATGAGTTTTTTTTTTTTATAACCAGGATGGTTTTCCGACCCTTCCGCCCAGCTACATCCACCCTAGATCCGGGATCAGCCTTTGTACCATTTTGGTCCAAAAATTACATCACTTCCCACAGTGGAATCAAACCCAAGACTTTGAGGATGATTTTGTCACATCTCATCCACTGGACTACCAACTTTTGGGTAATATTGCATGAGTTCCTTTCTTTGGGGGCAATGTGTGCATAGTCTTTGCTGATAGGAGGAGGTTTTTTAAGAAAAAAATTACATCTGTTTTGATTTTAAATTTTCCAGTGTGGTCATCTTTTTCCAAAAAATGTCGCCTTTTTTTCTGAATATTTTCTATTTAGAATTCAAAAACCGAAATAAGTGAAAACAAAGAATTCATATCAGACGATTCCAAAAAATTTGAAATTAAAATTGATTTTATATTTGGACGGTGCAGGTGGTGGTGATGTAAAACGTGTTTTTTTTATACGGGTGAATTGTCCGAAGTTGACTGACGCGGCTTTTTAATTGCCCCACCTTGGGCAATGGTGAGTTTCAATTCGGTTTACAGGATTTCGACCCAGTCTATTTTGGGTTTCGTTTTTTGGTTGGGCCAATCGGCTGGTGATGCAAATAAAAAATATTAAAAATAAAAAATATAAATATATTTTTTAAGGGTGACGGGTAGAGGTGCTACTCGGCCTCTACCGGCGAGGTGTAGACGCATCCATCACACCTCACACGCATACAGACCCATGGGCCTTTGGCCGAGAATGCATCCAATGGGCGGCCAGACAATGATCCATTCGGACAAGAGTCGATTCCGACAACAAAAAATGGGGGATGATGATAACACGCGCGCGCCTTCCATGGAGTGAAGCTTAAACAACATCTTGGTCGAAATACATCACACGTCTGAAATTTAAAAAAGAAACAGATCAAAAGAGAATGAAGAGTTAAGGCAAACGAAAGAGCTCAAACACTTCTTTACACAAGCTCCGGAAACACTATCGCACTCAAACACAAAACTCTCAGAAACCCAAAAAAATTCGGAAAAAGAAAGAAGAGTGAACCTTGAAGGAAAGAATTATGATTTTCATCAGAAAACGAAAACAGTCTTGCACCCAGAAAATCATCCCATGTTATCAGCGTACAACGATTCCTAACACTGGAAGGAACGTGAAGATTAATGGTGAAATTGACCTCGCAAGCTCGAGGGGCAGACTTTCCTCGGTTGGCCAGAGAGACAGAACTTCTTGGGAAATCGTTTTCCGAGCGAGATTTGCCTGTTTTTTCTCCATTGTCTGAACAGCGTTTCCAGGTTGTGGCTGAAACAACTGAAATCTGAACTTTTCACGCATGTCATCCCCCATTGAAGTGAATTTTCAATGCTCAATCTGAGTCTAGCTACCTAATCAGCTCCAGTATTTTATCGTTGGATATATTTCACATCCTTCAGCTTTTGCAGAAGAAGTTTATAACAGAGATGCTTACAGTTACAACGGATATCGGTTTGATCGGGTGGATTCTGACCGTCTGGTGGGAGCTGTTGGATCCCTTTGTGATCTCCATACTTCTCTCCAGTTCCTTCTACTGCTGCTCCTCTCAAAAGGATAATAATAGTTCTGAACATCTGCATGTGCTCCTGATGCGCTGCTTCCTTCACGCTTCTTTTGTGCATTATGCATCTCTTCTTCAAGATCGTACTGTGAACGCTGCCGAAATGGGAAACGAAAAAAAAATGTAACACTGGTTTTCTGGCAGTAAGCGGAAAGATAAAGCCTGTCAAATAAAATTCAACAAAATCTTCAATGATCTTTCATCTTCCAAAAGAGTTACTAGTTTATGGAAGGAAAAGAATCCAGTTGTGAGAAAAGTGAAAAAACCTTTTGTTTACATAAAAGACTTCTTGCAAGAAGTTAACGGGAAAGGAGACAGCTCATGAAGTTAATAGGTTTCGATATTTACCTTTGCAGGGTCTGAAAGAATTGCATATGCCTCACCAATCATTTTAAATAATCTGTCAGCGTCACGGTGCACTTCTTCTCCTATCTCCTTCCATAGCTTATCATCCTTAGTCTCGTTTCTTGACAAGGACTGACCAGCCTTCAAGATACAAGACAAGTTCTAAATTACTCTTGTCCTATCATCTGTATCATTCTTTTCTTTAAGCGAGGTATGAGTGTAATCGAGCTCATAAACATGTGAAGTTTTGAAATTCAATGCATCAAATACCTTGTCAGGATGGTGACGGAGTGCAGCCTTCCTATATGCCTTTCTGATATCTGAAGCCGAGCATGACCGATCAACTCCCCTGCCACAGTTGACGGTCCCATGATTATCAGCAAGCTTAACACACTTTGACAGATTAAATATCTCTGGTCCCGAAAGCAAAAGACAAACCCATTTTTTTCACGTATCTAAGTACAATGATCATCTTACAAGCACCATTTTCCTGAAGTTTTACCATATTCCAGGGAGATTAATTTAGTGAGAAGGGGCAATGGCAAAGGTACAAAATCTTGTTAGCATAGATGCATGCCCCGGCAGAATTGCATTTAGTATGCAGCATTCACAATAAGATACGAGAAGTTGGCATGCCAATAGCAAAGAAAATATAAATGTGTCTCAACTTTGATAGAAAACAGAGAAAGTAAGAGATGCATTTATTTATGCAATATAGACTTACAGGATGAGGTACATGTCCAGTGGAATTCCCCTTCTTGATTTTTCTTCCAGCTCAGAAAGCCGTAGACGAGCGTGTCTTATATCATTGGCCAAATTCGTGGATCTATCGCAAGCCCCAGTGGCCTTCTCCATTTGCCATGATTGAAGATCAACAAGTTTCTGAATATCACTTGCTGCTTGTCCATAGTCCCTTATCATCTCAAACAACGCGGCCCGTCTAGATATAGCCTGAGAAATAAATTAAAATTTACACATTATCTGACACAGGACAGGAACATTTCAGACACTAAACTAGAAAACTATTCTCACTTCACGAGTGACATGTTTTCAGAATCTTTCAAAAGATCACAACCTATGAGAACATAGCCGAATTGTATGTAGCTTATGATTGAAATGTGTTGGCGCATCGGTTAAGGTGTTGCCATTGTGACCTACAGGACACGAGGTTCGAGTTCGGGAAGCAAACCTCTTGCAGAATATTCTGCAAGGTATGGTTTGCCTACAATACACCCTTGTGGTGGGCCCTTCCCTAGACTCCCGCTCAACGGGATGTTTTGTGCACCGGCCTGCCCTTTTATGAACAGAAATGTGAACTTAATACCTAAATTTAGCTCATAAATTTTAGGGATAACTATCTAACATTTAAATACAGTGGTCTATTCCAGGACGTAAAAGGCTTAGCATCCCAATCACATGACCAGAACATACCCGAAATCATGCAACAATGGAAACAGAACCATAGGATGTTAGTTGTCAGGGGAGAAACCTTTGAGTAGTTCTGGTCAAGAGCAATAGCAAGGCTGCAGTCGGCGATAGCATCAATAACTTGACCAAGAGCCTTGTATGCAGCAGCACGGTTGCAGAAACACACAGCCATAAAAGGACGTGATTCCACATTGAAAGACAAAGCAGCTGTGTAATGTTCAACTGCTTCTGTGTGTTTTGCAGACTGAAACGCTTCATTCCCTGCCGTCTGTTGTCAAAGACCAATGTAAGATTTTGTGAACAGTTATGAAACTTTTGATGCTTACTATCTGATAATTTTCCCCCTATTTTCTATTTTTTTTTTGGGCATGTAAGTAACTATTTCTGCCCTTGGTGTTTTAAGTGACTCCAGGAAATGAAAGAATCAATCCAGAACTTAAAATATAGCAAAGAAATGCAATACCTTGAGGCGCAACAAACCACGTACAGTAGCAGCAAATGGAATTGAGGATTCTAGAGTTTTGTTATCATTCCTGTGACAAAATGACACAAACACAAGAGACCAATCAGATTTTGCATATCAGAAAAAATAAAGGAAAAAGAGGAACTATGAATTACCTTTGTGTAACAGATACTAATTGTTCTTGCTTCTCTAGAGAAGCAATTGCCTCCTCAAGCTTTCCCATATAGAAACATGATTTAAGCATGAGGCGGCACCGCCAAATTCTGAAATTTATGTCTTTGGGAAGATCATGAGCTCCCAGGTTAGCCAAATTTCTGTCAGTGCCCAATGGAAGAGAATTCTTTTCCGCCAAATCAACTGTCAGCTCACAAAGCTTTACCACTTCTTCATACTTCTCAAGCTGTCGGAAGAAACAAAGAACAAAAACAAGGGTTTCTTTATTAGCATCTTCTATACATCCAATGGATTCTCTAGAGCATTCAAGTGACGTTTTGTAGGTGAGTAGAACATACCATTAATAGGGCCTCTCCCTTCATTTCAAGTAACTTTTCCGAGTATGAACTTATTGACAGGGATTCTTCAAGTACTCCCAAAACTTTATCTGCGTCATGTGATGTTCTAAGGTGCAAAAGACGACCAGCTTCATGCATGCATTCAGAAACTTTCTGCAATATAGATAGGATATTTTGGTCGATGGTAAATAAAAATGTATTGCCCATGTGCTAATTCATTAGGAGAACATAGAAAAAGAAAACTCACGGGATTTAAAATAAAACTAAAAGCCCAAAACAGAGTCTGAACAAAACCAAATCTACACCCGACCTCTGAAGAGATTCTAAATCTTCAACTGATTAAACCAGCAACAACTAGAACGCGGATGTATTTAAGTAATTATTAAATTTTCTTGTCATCTCCTTACTAGAAACATAATCAACCATTCATATCTAGGATTATAAATAAGTGATCCATATGATCCAGTCTAGTTCCCAAATCAAGCATTGAAGAAAAATTTACATCCAAGAAATAAGGCCCTAGGTCATACATCTTCAAAAATAAAACAGCCCATTGTACACCACATGCATACTGTAATCATATACTAAAAAATCAGTACAAGATAATTAAGCCTAATATTTCAACTAGAAGAACATATATACATATTAGTTTTCCCCTGAGAGTGAATAGGGAATCCTACCTGTGCCTTTTGTAGACCTTCAGAAGCCTCAACAAAAATTTTTCGGTCCACACAGATGTCACTTCCACATTGCAAACATTTTTTGAAATATCTTGATGCATCTTCAATTTCCCCAAGTGAAAGGTAACAACTAGCAAATGCAAAAAGCACAAGTTAGTGAAACAACAAATTAAACCTGGTACCAATATCATTTTCTCCTTGCTAAATGAAGGAGAAAATAATCACGTGAAGCTTCATTCCCAGGTAAAAGCTTTCACATCAAAGACCGCAAGTTTCTGGATAAGACTTTGGCCTAAAGTCATCAAAACATAAAAAGAAAGTATTGATCGAGGAAGGTCTTTACTTTCCAGCCCTGACTTGAACCCTAAGGAAGTTGGGGTCTATTGAAGAAGCCATTGTACAATCTAATATGGCTTCTCTCATTCTTCCAAGGGACATGCGTGTTGCAGCACGATTACTGTAGCAAAGCATCAATGCCCTGAGGCAGCTTCTAGATGTCTCATTTCTAGAGACAGAATTTATCCCCCGTGTGTAAAATTCCTCAGCTTTCGAGAGATCTCCATTTGTATAAGCATGATTTCCTCTGCAAAAGAAAAATTCAGTGAAAATATAAAGACAAAAGCTGCACTAAAATTATTGACATATGGGCAATCGGACACTATGATAGAGACAATGGAAGAGTGAAAGAAGAGCAAAGGAAATAGCAAATTTGATAACAACCTTGATCGCCACTTTTCACATGCTTCTTGAGCTGCATTAGACTCGTTTTCCACTTCTCTCCCTTTCTCCACTTCAGATCTATATATAGGCTTAGGTAGATGAGTAAGAGTATCCTTTTCATAGGGCTTCCCTTGAGACAAAATCGACTGAACACCAGCTAATGGAGAATGTTGAGAAGATTTTAGGAATGAAGTATATGGAAGTGGCGCGTTTGGAACTAAGTTATATGGATCATGCCCGAATTTTGATGGATTTTTCTTCCTGTTTACACGCTTTGCAGTTGGCAGCGGTCCATGAGCTACTGAAGAGGATGCAGCTGAAAAGGTGAAGTTAGAGCTAGCAGAATCTGAAGAAGGAAAATGGTCCTCATTTTCTTCCCTATCAAACTTCAAGGTTGAAGTAACATCAGTTTCTGTTGCTGTAACAAAAGTATCACTACTAACTTCCATCTCTTCAGCTGCCGATTTAAAACTCTCGGTTTCGGCCCCTGATACAGAACCTTCTGCAAGTTCTTCATGGTCACCACCTTTATCAGTATGAGATTCGTGAACTTGATCGGTGTTAACTCCATCCCCTTCATTTATTTGCATCCGCTCAGTTGCAGCAAGTAGCTCTTCGTCGAACATATCACTTGAAGCATCAACAGTTGATAAATGGCTTTTTTCAGGATTAGAAGACTGATCTGATACAGTAGATTCTGCCTCGCTTTGTGTTTTCTCGTACGGAGAGATGTCCATCGGTGAATAAGACCCAGAAACCTCACTGATTCCTTGTGGAAAACCACTTTCTGCAAAAGCAAACTCTCCAACATTCAGTTGGACTTTCACAGCTTGCTTACCTGCTGTCCTTCTAGATTTCATGGCACTAGAATTTTCCTTCTTTGCATTGAAATCCAATTTCTGACCCAAGCTGGAAAACGGATTTAATTTTGAGTTGGGCGTCTTGAATTCCATAAAAGTCGCCCCGCCACTGTTTTGCTTACTCGAAAAATTGAACTCGACAGTATTTACACTAGAGGTCGTATAACCAACATTTCTAGCATTCAAATGTTCATCAGGCACTGCACCTGCAAAACTACTATTCATCGGATATGATTTGTCGGAGTCGTTGATATTCTGCTCAGTCACATTTTCCTTTGGTGAGCCATTGGAAAACGCTTCAGATGAAGAATGCCCCTTGGTTATCCCTTCAGAAGCTATATTTCCGACGTTCAACTTCCTTGCCAACTCATCAGAGAGTATCTTCTCCCCAATCAAATCCCGAGACTCAGCTTTGTCCGTAGAGAAAACCGAAGCTTCCTCATTGACTTTGGCAGTATGCTGTTTCTGATCGACACCGCCATCAAACACCTTGTCCTCAATGTTCAGTTTCTTCATCTTTTCCTGAACTAAATGTCCTGAACTCCAGGAAGAAAAGCCACTGCAGCTATCTTTCGACATGAAATTTTCAGATTCACCAATGGTAAAGCTACTTCTTCCCTCAGCAGCCTCCTTGCTTGCATGAATTCTCAGTTTATTATTCAACTCATTTGGAAGTTCATCTTCCAAACTTTTCCCCGAAACACCACTAACATTTTCACCACCAGTAAACACAAAACCGCTTTTGTTCTTCACACCGAAACTAAAACTGGAATCTTTCTGTCCCACATTGCACATACTCTCCTGTGAATCCTTGACGTTATCATCAAAGCCAACACCCTTCCTATAATCTTTCCCACATACATCCTCCCCCTGGATCTTCAATTTGTTCATTTCTTCCACAACCCTTTCACCGTCATTGTTCCCAAAAACAAACGCCTCGTTGGTGCTCCTTCCAAACCCGGATTCACCGGCAATGGACCCAGAGAGAGGCATCATGAACGAACTAGGGTTATGAAACGGGTTGAAACCCAGACCCGAGAGAGAAACCGAGTTTCCCGAGGGCTTCAAGTTCTGAGACTTCACTTGCCTCCTCACCTTGGACAATCTCGGCTTAGAGAGACCCGAAGATGGCCGCGAAAATGGCGCAGAATCGAAGCTCGAGGTAGGATTGATTCGATCCGAACTCGGGAACGCGGAATTCAAATCCCCGAAGTTACTCATTGTTCTTAGATTCTCTGTTTTAGATTGAGGAACCGAACCTGAGACGACAAACCCAAAAGACAAGTGATTGGCTGGAATTTTCCGACCGTCGGCTTCGTTAGCCAGAGCCCCGGTCCCTACGAAATCCGCCGGCGACATGGCGGAGAGGGAGTCATCTAATCCGAAACCGCAGATTGAGAATCCAACGAAACACAGATTCCGGAAAAGGGAAATGGATCAGACCGGGATCAATCGATCAGAGAAGACGAAAGGAACCGAGAACGATCAAAGAAAACTTCAAATTCAATGGGCGATTGCGTTAGGGAGGAAACTGGTTCGCCTCCAATGGTTATTCCAGAGAACAATAAAATAAAATTTAAAATAAAAAAGGAAAAAAGGAAAAAGTGTGATTGTATTATATTTGCTTTGGGCTTTCCCGTTGTCGTCGTCACGGTCTCATGGCCTTCTCAAAGGTTTCATTTAACCTTTTATTATTTTCCTCTCATTCGGTTTGTTTATCTTATTATTGATGGCAATTAATCACATCTTAAATTTTATTTTATTTTAATTTATTCATTATTTTTTTATTTTGGTACAGTACAAAGTTCTTAAAAATTATAAATTTTAATTTTAATTCAATTATTTTTACATTTGTTTTTATTTTGTATTTTATAGATAATTTAAATTAATGGATTTAAAAGTTGAATACAATTAGATATTATTTGTTTCGTTTTTGGATATAATATTTTATCCCAACATTACTTAACTGAATATCATATTTATTTTTAGATCTTAACCAATAATTCTCAAATATACCATGATTATTTTGGTAATTTGCTCTTTTTTATAATTGTGTTTTGTCCTAATTAAGAAAAGAAACGTATAGAAATTAGAATTCCTCCTTTGAGACAATGCTACAAAGCCTACAATTATTTTGGATCTTTTGCAATTCCTTTCGTTTTATGGGAAAAATCGCATTTTCTAAATTACTATTTAACATTCCAAAAGTGAAGAGTTTTGGTAAACGTGTGTATATATATATATATATATGTACAATCCAAGTCTTATATAATTTTAAATGTTTAAAATTAAGAATAGGATATCCAAAAATTTAGAAATATTTCAAATTCTAAAGACTGAGATTTGATTCCAACCTAAACGGTGATTACCAATGACCCGTGTAAGAGGTGAAAAACGAGGGCGAGACATGACAATTCAAAAAAAAATATTCTAAGTACATATATATAATTTAATAAAATATATAAACTAAATTAAAAGACTTTTTCAAGTTTTTATAATGATCCAAAAATCGCATAATTTTACCCATACTTGACAAAAACAATAAACCCGAATGCCATAACAAAGAAAAACAAGGATTGATTGATTATCCAATTTTGCTATATAAATAGTCGTTAGCCATTTTAACAAAAAAAAAAATAGTCGTTAGCCCCAACACATATATATATATACACATATGTGTATATATATATATAGAGAGAGCTAAGGCATATAAATGATAAAAAAGAAAAAAGAAAAAAGATCCCTAGTCCGAGAGTGTTCTTGTCGAGTATTCTACAGATCAGGTCGTCAGTTGTATAAATGTCACTTGATGAAAACTTGCGATTTTGATACGATAAATGCCATATCCTAAGCTAAGTACTACTCTTTCTTGGTTCCTGTATATATATATGTGTATATAACTTAGCTGTATATATATATTCCTACTTCCTTTCTCTCTACTTGTCTGCATCCCAAACAATCGATTTCTTGATGTTCGATGATGGTTCAAAGTCATTGAATCTTACGTTTTATTGCATGAGCTTTCTCATCCATGACCTAAAAACCTGTCCAGAAAGATAAAAAATGTTATCGATACAGACCAAAAACGTCTCTTGCCTCGAGTTCTGGTGCCCGAAACGAGGAATGAAACCGATATGAGACGATAATACTATTGACATGACCGACCCTTTTGCATTATAGAGCGAAATAGCTACTGGACCAGAACGCTCGAAGTGGAAGGTGGTTCCGGATTATTTCCAGTGATAGATGAGACCGTGGCAAATTTTAGATCAATTTCAGCAGATTCGTCGGCCTTTTGGTCATCGGGTTTTGCAGACGGGAAGATGTTACTAGGAAGAACAAGTTGTATGGTGTTTCTACCGTTGGGTTCAAACTTTTCACTCTCAACATTCCCCGAGCTTTCTCCTCGCCCTCGATAAGGATCCACCTCCGAGGTATCACCATTCACTGACAAATCTTGAGGCAACAACTTTAATGAGATAAGAGTCACTGCTTGTTAAAGTAACAATAAAAACTTCTTATTCCATCGTAAGTTCATTGTGTAATTTCACCAACCTTCTAATCCTTCAGGCTCGGTATTTTCAGATGGGAAAACAAAGTTTCTGTTACCGCATGATAGAAAATAGCCTGGAGATCCCATGGACAAACTACGTTGATGATGGGGCACAAACCCGTTCTTGAATTCCGGGAGTTGCGAATTTACAAACCGTCTCCTTTCAAGCTCAATGGCTCTCTGCAGTTCAGCTTGCTCCATTTTTCTTCTCATCACCATCATCTCCTGTTTGTCATAGAACATCTATGAACCTAATAAACAATGAAAAGAGACCAGCCATAATCAGAAATAAAATGATACAAGACATACATAACTTGGAATGTGGCAAAAGCATGCAACAATCCAACTTGATCAACTTCAATCAAAATTTTGGATACTAACCGAGGTGAGAATCAAACCCAGATGGACTGGAACACGGAGAAAACTTCCCTCGATCAATCTGTTGTTGTAGCTGATTCTGTTGTTGTTGCTTTCTGCCATCAATAAAGTAACAATTACACGTTGGACCTCAAAATAGAGAGATCGTATAAGAAACAATTTTCAGCGATGTGTTAAAACCCAAAACGAAGAGAACACAAATGTGAGAAACCAAGAACAAGATAAAAAAGAATCATACTTGTCTAAAGGTTTTCTTTTTTCTTTGTAATGTTTCACAAGAACATGTGAATCGCAAATGAAATGGGGATTCCCTCTAACTAACACGAGCTTCACAGTCTCAGGGTGGACAAATGAAACAAATCCGAACATACGTTTCTGCTGGTAAGGGATCCTCACATCTTGCACTGCTCCAAAAAGGCTTCAAGTAAAAAACACACCCAACTAATCATCAATCGAAAAGGCAAAGCCATATATTGTCGAATATATATAAACCGTAGAACACTATCAACAGTTCTTATTAGTTGTTTCCTCCATTCTTCAAGAATCATCAAAACGGATTTGTTGGACGACCCTCGACATGTTCACCCATAAGTTTATCTCTGGTGCTTGTCTGACAGAGATGATTGTCGGAAAATACCTGAAATAGTTTGCAACGTCCTCGTCCTTAAAGGTGTTATCAGCAGGGAAAGTCAAGTAAATCTGCCTGGAAGCTGAACTCGACTGATCACTGAAATGCATCGTCATAAGTTCACTCCTCTCGAGCCACCCCGGGCTGTTGTTCCAATATCATTCATCACCAAAAAGTAATGCACCACCCACACTGCTACAGGTAAACATCACAAAACTTTACAACTGAATACACCGAGAATGTAAAATCCAAAATGGTAAATTTTAAACCAATTTGCATCGCACAAGACATGAACTTAGGCATGCGAAAATTTTGGCAAGCCAATGAGAATCAAACATATAGTCGCCAAAAGAAAGCACCATACAACAAGGAACACAAAGAACAAGACTGAATACCAACCACACAATTTATAATCTGGAAATGAGGATTACAAGTTACAACCAACCCAATATCACCACAAACAAGAAAACACAGAATCAGTTTTCTTCACACACTTTCAGAAAATACATGGGCTTATACCAAGAACGGCAAAGCAAAATACTTGAGATAGATCTATTTACCGGCGAGAGTGCTGATGCAAGAGTAAATCCGTCCTCGTCTCGTATGGCAATTGGGGAACCCTAGCCAAGAACTGGGCTGCAGCTAATCTCTGCTGTTGATAAGCCATTTTCATCATCATCATCATCATCATCTCCTTATGCTGGCGAAAAGAGCTTTCCATTTTTCTCGGCGAATTAACCATGCGGCCATTATCGTCAACATTATCTGGAAACCCGCCATGGATAAACTTGCAACTATCACCATTCTTGCAGAAACCTCGGCTAAAATCTATACAAGGCTTTAATCCTGCACCAAAACCATCATCCTCGAACCCAATGCATGCATTCGCCGAGAAACTCCTCTTGTGAATATAGGTTTCATCATTGTTCACGTAGTCCTCCAACAAAACCCTGGTATCGATGAGTTCCTCGGGTTTTGATGAGGAATCATCGAGAAACGAGAGGTAGTCAGTCATATGCTGCTCATCCAGAAAATCAGCACTAGAATCATTGTCACCACTAGCATCTGCAACAACCCCTTCGTTGCTTTGATCATTGTCGGAAGGTTTCGAGATTGACCCACTTCGAATATTGTCGAGCGGGAGAAAAGGGCTCGGTTTGGGGGGAATGTGGGTATTATTGCCGTTAGGATTTACCCTACTCAGTGACCACGAAGAGCTGGAAGAAGAAGACAGAGGAAAATTTCTACAGAGATCCATGAACCCATTAGGGTGACTGCCTCTACCGTCAATGGGTGGCCGACAAATAAGGTTCAACGGCGAAGGAGAGGTGGAGTCGACGGTGCAGACAAGTTGTTCAACAAAAGCCCCAACTGGGTCTTCACTTTCACAGTCATGGACTGCAACGCCCGTTCTGGTCTGAAAGCTAGACGCATCAAATCCCCCTCTTCAACCGTAACGGATGTCGGCTTAATCCGAAGGAAATTACGCAGAAGCATTACAGAATTATTATGAAGCTATGCGACTAGAAATTGATCCCTATGATCGAAGTTATATACTATATAATATAGGCCTTATCCACACAAGTAACGGGAAACATACTAAAGCTTTAGAATATTATTTTCGAGCATTAGAACGAAACCCCTTTTTACCACAAACTTTTAATAATATGGCTGTGATTTGTTATTACGTGCGACTACCTCCATTATAGAAAAAAAAACAACGAAAAGACCATGATAGCCCATATTTTAAATAAAAAATAATAAAGTTAATAATGAAAAAACTGCACTTTCTCTTTCCTCATCTTTTCATTCTTTCTCATCCAAGACTGCTTTCTCTCTTCTCTGATTGTTCTCTCGATTTTCTCTCTCCTCTTATTCCCACTCTCTCTCCTCCGTTTTGCTCTCTCCCTCCTCCGTTTTGCTTCGTTTCTCTTCCGA